GTCGTCATGATATGTCCTGGAAGTCTTATTGTTAGTATATAAAAAGTAGCTTCAAAATCTCCTGCCAAGTTTTCTCGATGTTCAGGGAAATCAAATATGTACTCTATATAAAAAGGTATTCTAAATAATTATTTTCTAATCAAACTATTTCTAATTCTAAATGAGTATATATGGGCATGAAATTGACTGCATATAGGCCCACAAGACTTCGCAAGCCCCGAGTGTTAAAGACCAAGTTTATGACTAGAATTGCGCTGTTGAATTTGGACCCCTTCGCTACATAGGACAAGATTGCCCGTGCCCGTGGAGCATTATATGTACTATGTAGACCAAAAAAACGGACTCTTCGGGTCATTTTACGAGGGGCAAATTCTTTCCGAAGTGTCCTCTTAATCACTGGCGACGCGCCAGCATCCATTTAAAGAAGATCCGATGGTCGAATCCAAAATCCTATGCAACATTCGCACTCTGAGATCAAAGGTGTACTGGGATTGTTTCGACTTCCTTACAGCTTTCATCGAATTGCCATCGACATAAAAGAGCACTTAGTTTTAACAAGAGTTACGAGAGCACGGATTAATTGGACGTATTTCTGCCAAATGGAACTACGTGCGTTAAGACGTGAGTCCTGTTATACATATATTCTTATGAATCTCAAGGCTCATGTCTTAATGCACATACGTCCGTTTAGCAGAAATACGTCCGATGGAGGAAGCAACATTTTGTCCGCTCTAGTAGTGCTTTTTGACCTAGCCTACAATTTGGAGGCCTTATTACTGTTTACCTGTTTTACAAAAAGGCTCTTGCTAAATTGAACGTATTTCTGTCAAACGAAAATATAAACGAGTGGGAAAAATGCATGGGGTGTGCTTTAAAAAGCTGCACAAGAGACAACGTTAAAGTTGTGGTGTGGTTCCCTTTGGAGAAATGGAGAAGCGGGATTTTACATTCTGTCGAACGGAACTATGAGCCATCTAAATGCTGCACTCATGAGCCATGGGCATGTGACAAGAGCGTTGTGGACAGGGCTCATGAGTTAAAGACAGAGCGGAGCCGCGGCGGCACGGCGGCGCGACGGCATAGTGAAGGAATCACTTCAGAGACTTTAACGCAGCGGTCGAAAAGTAGGCGCACCAACAAATGCGAGTTGCTTCACACACGAGGACCTTATAACTTAAAAATTTGGTCACGCTGAACAACGCCAGAGATTTTTGGATATTTACTTAATAAGATAAATTGAAATCTAGATAGCATTTGTGCTTTGCCTGCAGGAGCTTCGATTGGCAAAAGACGCGATTTGCAATGAGTGCGACTCATTAAAGCTGCGAATGTGGCAAAGTTGCTGGGAAAAAAAAGGTCTTTAAATACTTTTTGAAGGTAAACTGTGCTAATAACGTAAAATAACGCAAAAAGTTGTGTCCGTAAATGAAGTTTCTAATATTCAACGGCACGCATATGGACGTATTTCCACCAAACAGAACTATGTGCATTAAAACATGAGCCCCGAGACTCATAAAAATAAATGAATAACCGGGCTCACGTCTTTACGCACATACTTCCGTCTCGTAGAAATACGTTCATTTGTATAATCGCGTGCCATTTCGATCGGCGAAAAGCACGATTTCAATGACTACGACTGCTTACAGTTGCAAATATGGCTACATCGAAGTAAAAAAAAAGTATTCGGAAAATTGTTTGAGGAAAACTTTGCTCACCACGTGAGATTATACTAGAAGTTGTGCATTTAAACAAATGCTTAGACTTTTAGCCGCACGGGTTTACACCTCACGCGGGACCTGCCTAATCGACCGAACATGTGATTTAAGTTTAAGTTGAAGGTCGAATTTCAGGACTTCAGGAAATCAAAATTATTCGTCGGACTTTTTCATGGACTTAAAACATATCTTAATAAATTAGTTGAGCCTAGCCGTTTCTTCAAAAAAGCGAAAGCTGAATGGAACTTGTATGGAACATTTGGAAGTTCTAAAGGGTCTTCTTGTCTTTTGATTTGATTTAAGATTTTTCACTTAAATATTAATTTGTACTATTTTAGTTAAGAAAGTTTCTTTCACATTCTTTCCTTCATTCAAGCTTTCAATTATAAAGCAACTTATTATGCTATACCTTAGTACAGTTAATTTACTGCAGCTATATCGTCTCCATTAACAATCATTACACTGGGAAAAAAAACAAATTGGATTTAGAGTCCAGACTCTTAAGAACATCGACAAGAAAAAATACTCTTGATTCAATCGGATTTTTGCTTAAATCAAGAACCAAGCCTAGCCAGCCAATTTGAGCGGATTTCCTTTTGATCTAAGCAAAAATCTGTTTGAATCAAGAGTATTTTTTCTTGTCAATGTTTTCAAGAGTCTGGACTCTAGATCCAATGTGTTTTTTTTTNGGTCTCGTCAAGGTGCGTCTTTGACCTCGCAGTGTTGGATCGTGAATTCTCTTTTTATGCTGTTTGCCTATTTTGAAATCTCTGTAAATGAAAACTAAAGGGGTTGATATGTGCGAGTTAATGACGCGCCTTATCAACACATTGTGTTGGAGTTCACTGCTTGTTTTTCCAGTGTATTGGTTGTTAGTTTTTCTTTATTCATTTTATGTTTCAAACCCATTTATAAGATATTTATGCTTCGAAGTCACTTCAAGTTTAGTTATTGAACGTCTTGTTAAACTAACCAAGATCCCCATCTCATTCTTCTTTGTGAAACGATGTTTCTTGAGAACCGCGGGATTGATGATGTCACGAATAAGAACTTTATTTCAACTGGCACTTGGCAGATAGTTCGAACGTTTTGACTAGAATTTTATGGATAGAGATGAGTGACGCGGGCACCAAATAGCACAAGACTCTAGCTTGGTTTCCTAGTAATTGATCCGAGAGTTACAGTAATAGTGTGGAATATCTGACGGTTGCGTACGCAACTGACAGTAAAAAAGCTGAGTGAATTCTAGCGGACAGAAAATGATGACTCACTAATTTCATCCTCGAACAATGCGTTTGCACCGTCTGCGTCCATAAATCATTGATACAAATTAATACTGAGACGAAGAATGTTTTAAGCCGGCTTACAAATCCGCGCTATACGGAGACCATCAAAAGTAACTTCAATGAATTGTTTATGGTCATTACACTTTGCCGCCGATTCAAACTCGTGTATAATTCGTTATCGGCCCATCGTGCCGTACTTTGATGCATCATTTTCTCAAGGAGATCGCTCTGCGCAAAATGGTGATGTTTAGAAAAAACAATGTTTACTTTCAAGCGGTTTTTGAATGAAAATAAAAATCAGATCCATCGCTTTTCTCTTTAAGAGTCACTTTCATCCAACATCATCCATGCGGGATTGTTTGGTATTTATTCAACTCATTTTTATTTATGATGTTCGATAAGTTGTATTTCACTTCTTTTTTTTTCCTTTTTTCTTTTTTTTTGCTTTTCTTCCGGACAAAATATGGAATCTTTAAAAAAATTAATGCTCGAATCATAAAGGCCCAGATTTAGCGATGGCAAGCATACACCACCGCCAGAAACTGGGTTCGGCCATCGTACTTGAAATAAAACTTCCTACTTTTATCATCGGATGCATTAACGAAGAGGTGAACGGCACCAAAACTCAATACATAAATACGTACTAACCTCGTCGAAAATTCCGAAACATCATAAGGAGAAAAATAAACAAACTTGACTTAACATATACACTGATGTTTAGATCAACGGCGAAATAAGGCATTCCTTAAGTAATATTGACAGCAAGTGAAATTACATCAACTCGTTTAAGACATGCTGAATACTTATCATTTTACCTTATCGAGGCATTGCGAAATATTTTTGGAGGGGTCTTCCCGTCGCTTCTTTCAATTATATGCCCTAAGAATCCTACGATATTTCGTCCTAAGTTTATGCTGATTTTAGCCTTATCTCAAGTATACAATAAACAGTTCAAAATGTAAAAAGAAATAAGAGGAAACTACCATCGAGAGAGGTATACATCCTAAAAGATGGCTAAGGCAAATACTTTGGTCCACCTCTCGTCAATAGTATACATTGACCTTATTATTAAACCAGGGGATACGCCTCCTGGCCGCTATGAGATCCAAACCTCCGAGGGCGCGGGCGCTTCGCGCCCTTGGAAGTTCACTTTGCAGATCTCTCCCAGGTATCGATGGGCAAAAGGATTTTCCGAACTATGTATAAGGAGATTCAATATAAAAACATTGATAATATATGCTCAGAATTATTGCGGAGGTCAATAATGATGATGCTTTACAATGAAAGAGAAAACATTTCTGAAGATAGTGCTTCACGAGAAAAAAATGTCCAAGACTATCAAGGGAGTCAATAATACTACAGGGTGATCCAAAAGTCCCTTTCACCCCCTTAAACTCTTTACCTAATTTAGATAAAGATTCCATACTTGGGGAATGTTCTTGGATCAAAGGGAGCTACTTTTTGGCCCCCCTAAAATTTTCAGGGGGCCCCTCCTGGGGGCAACGGACCCAAACTTTTTTGGGGTCCCCCTACAAATTTTAGGGGGGCCAAAAAGTAGCTCCATTTGATCCAGGTGCATTCCCCAAGTATCGAATCTTTACCTCAATTAGGTTAAAAGTTTAAGGGGGTGGAAGGGACTTTTGGATCACATTGTATAATACCATTAAAGAAAAAAAACCAAGCAATTTTCTGAAAAATGGTCACGAATCATCGAAAAATTACTGCGATCACTAAAGAGGTGAAATGAGGAATAGGAACAGGATGGGTAGGGTTCGATTCAAAGAAATAGAAAGGGAAATCGGGGTTGAAGTAAGGCAGAGGAATTAGGTGGTTAAAAGATTCTTGATAGCAGAACTACGTATGATAATCTTTTTTGCAGCACTCGTGGACCTAAATTCATTCCTATTATTTCTTTAAGCTACTACGAATGAGTGTTCAAATGTATACGTTACAGTTGACATTAAATATTATAATTAAATTTGTTAATTTTTTGTTTCAGGGCTGGCGTTGGAGCTCCGCTGGTTTTTTCGCTTGTCTTTTAATACAAGCAACATTTATTCTATGTCAGGAGGAGAACGAGATTACCCTTAACGATCTCATCCGAATCGAAGAAAACGAACCAGCCTTTTTCGAGGAGCCATCTCATATCCACAAAAGAGATGCTGGCTGTATATTCGAACCTGAGATAATTCCAGAGGGCTCGGAGCAGTTCGGGATTCGACTGAAACCTTTAAAAACCAAATCCACCTCCTTCCTGGAGCCGGCCGCCTCCACATATCGCGCAGCTCAATACCAGCCTGTGCGATATAATTTGCCGCCACTTCCGGCCAACGAGAATGCTAAAGCAAGCACCGATTACAGACAGAACAACGCGCCCGCAAAAATTAACCAAAATCCATTCAGTGTCAGCAAATATAAAGCGACAACTCCGAAGTACCCGCTAACCACACCGGAGACCGATGATGCAGTGGAGCCAGCTGGAAGCGGCGATGTCTTCGAGGCTATCAAACCCTCTACCTCGGCCCCCGAGTACCTTCCTCCTTACCAAGAGCCTCAAACGCCCGCTCCAAGTTACAGACCAACTTCTGCGCCCATCTCAAGACAGCGGCTTGTTCAGCAGCCGACGCAAACGGTGAGCTACGTCAACCCAGCGCCGGCACAACCTCTGACTCAAAATTACCTCCCACCGGAAACAGCGGCGTCGAACGTTGACACGGTAAAACAGCCATTCCAAAATTCCGTTTACTACACTCCGACGGTTCCGACGGTAAGACCGCTTGTTTCACAATCAGTGACAAGCTACTATTTCCCGACACAAAGGACGACTCTTGCACCCATCAGAGTTGAAAGTTTGAAGAACTACCTACCGCCGGAAAATGCAGCGCCTTCGAATGAAAACCCGGCCTTCGCTTTCCCGTCGACAACCACCCAGAAGCCTGCAACTCAATCCAACGAGTATCTTCCACCCGAGAGCCCTGAGTCCACGAACGACAACCCGGCGTTTTTGCAACCGGCCCAGCCGAAAAAACCGGTCGACGGACTAGCCGGACGCTTCACCACACCCGACGAACACTATCACACTCTCGAGGAACTTTGCAACGATCCGTTCCATAGTTTCCTGTGCGAGCCCTTGAAGCCGAGAAGTAAAGACCGATTCAAGAACCGGAACTCGAAAAAAGTGAACGCTGGGAACATTCCGGACGCATCTTTCGTGCAACCACGTGTAGTCGCGCCTAGCACGACCATTTCACCGCCTACCAATGATCAGCCGTTAGTACCCGCGAGTTCGTTCCAGGATATCACCAGAACTAAACTACCGGAGGAAAAACACGATTGTGATAAGTCACAGCCGATTGTTGCTGCAGCCTCATTCAACCAGGCTCCACTAGTATCAAAAATCGATGTGTCATATCTACCACCGGTTTCAACCACAACGACGCAAGCACCAACCACAACAGCGGCTCCACAGACCCCACCGACAGGTTTGTACGCGAAGAATCCTTTCAGTGAGCTCGTGTTTCAGAGTCCTATCAAGCAGGCAGCAAAACCGCAGCCGTTCGTCGCTAAGACCTACTTGCAACCCCAAACCAACGCCATAGAAGAGAAACCCGTTTTACCGCAGCCTTCGAACAATCAGTTTTCGTTCATTCCTCGTCAGTTCCCATCGACAACCAAGCCACTCAAAATCCCAGACTACCCTTGCAACAAGCATAACTCGATTGCTGAGACTCCGGCTGCTTCATCGGTATCTGAGAATGTGCAGGGATACAACTACCCTCAGCCTCAACCTCCCTTTCCTCAACCCGCAGCTTCGAATATCGTGACGACCGGTTACAGTTACCCACAACCAGCTGCTTCGACCGCTGTATTGACAGGATATAGTTATCCTCAACCATCTCCTTCAACCACCGTGACAACGGGGTACAACTATCCCGTACCAGCAGCATCCTCGCTCGTTTCAACCGGGTACGAGCAACCTCAGCCTTCTCCTTCAACCACCACGACAAAAGGCTACAACTACCCCGTGCCAGCGGCTTCCTCGCTGGTATCGACTGGATATGAACAACCTCAGCAAGCCGTCACTGGATACAGCTACCCTCAGCCGAATCCGACGTTCAACGAAATCCCTCAAGCCTCAAACGAACAACCCACTTTTTCCGGTTACCAGTACCCGGTCCCCGCCTTCAATCAACAATACCTGCAACCCGCAGCATCGATCAACTACTTCGTGCCTTCAGCTCGACCGGCAGTCACCACTACAACGACGTCAGCCCCCTCCACGACTACGGCTTCCTCGGAGCCAAAAGATGACGAGTTCCCACCACTCAATTCGAGTCATTTCACATTTCTGCCGGGAGAGGTCGATGAGATCTCCAATTTTAAAGGCTACACCACGGGGAGGCCGCAACCGAGTGCAGTGCCCGAAAAAGTTATAGGTTATGGCGCTCCTAAAAATGATACCTCTTTGCAACCAGCGGCAGATACCAATTTTGGATATTACTACCCCTCTCCGCAACCAGCTCCCGCGGCGAGTGCCAATGTTGAGAGTTTTCAGGGGTACTCTTACCCGAGTCCGTCGAATAATCAACCGGTTTTTGAGACGACTCCGAAAACAGACGGTTATGACTATCCTGCCCCTCTCGCCTCCGAACGGCTGAGTTTACCTTCGAACTTTTTCTCGCAAAAGGTGAAGTTGCCCTTGGAGGAGCAGAGGTCTTCTTTTCAAAAAGAGGACTGTGATAAAAGACCGCATTCGCTGCAAATAAGACGAAGTTGAGTAAGTCTGCGCGCGACAGTTCTGAGTTTCTCAGGAACTTTCAACATTACTTGTGACATGAACACTAACTTTAAAGCGGTCAGTTGAAATAGCCCCGAATTTTGCCTCGCAAGCGGTGAATGACCGTCCGGAGATCATGCTTGCCAGCAGACGCTGTACCCTGCCTGTTTTTAATCAGAATTCAATTTTTTCACTTTTACAATGTATGCAAATTTCAAAAATCTCTTCTAGTATTTGGAAAACTACTTTGGAACCTTTTTCAGTTTTTTTATAATTCATCATTCTTTAATGAAAATTTGGACAGGGTTGAAAAAAAGGTACAGACAATTTCATTTTCAATGAAATGCGTCAACTGATAAAGTTCGATTTTCGAATGTATTCTTTTTGTTTAGTTTACATCGTATACAGCATACATTTTTTATTGACTTTCATTCTCTTCAAAAATCACCACTAATGAAAGATACTCTTCTATGTAAATTGTGTAAATATGTTTCGTCAGAATATTTTCTATAAAATAAGTTTCACTGCCATTACAGTTTATCATTATTAGTATACTTGTTGAGCGATGTAAAATCGGCGAGTGCCGGCTACATTATACAGAGTTTTATTCATAATTTTCATTTGGGAGAAATTTTCTCAAAGTTTCATGGCGGAGAGTAGGTTTCCATGATTTTTCGCTGCCTTTCTCATTGACTCTTACAAAAAACATGTGATATTTTTACTCAGCGTAAAAAGCAAAGCTTTCACGCAGTTATTGTTCCTCATTTTACTCATTACCACACAAGTAAACAAATAGTTACCATTTGATGTAATAAAAATTAATGCAATCACAGTTACCAAGCAAAATATTGGATGCAATTAAAATACTACGTCAATAATAGTCTTCATTTATCATTTTCATCAATACTACACTGGAAAAAAAACACATTCGATCTAGAGTTCAGACTCTTAAAAACATTGACAAGAAAAAATACTCTTAATTCAATCGGATTTTTGCTTGAATCAAAACGAAATCCGCTTAAATTAAGAGGCTTGGTTCTTGATTTAAGCTAGATTCTGATTGAATTGAGAGTACTTTTTCTTGTCAATGCTTTTAAGAGTCTGGACTCTAGATCCAATGTTTTCTTTTTTCCAGTGTATCTACGTGCTAAATATAATTCTTTATTTATTCGAGAAAAAGAGTAAGTAAAGTTGCGTGCATTCTTTAGAGAAGCTTCTAAAGCGTTGTCTAATATAAAAGTTGTGTGAATGGTACTTCTATACTGCCGTGTTAAGGAAAAACGCCATAAGAACATTCGAACGTTGCCAAATTTTCCCTCTTATAACATTAATTTTTGAGACAAATAATGAATATTTCTGCTTGAAATTAGCCGATACTTCAGATCACATTGCGAAAAAATTTCTCTGGAAAATTTGAAGGAAAATGTTCGAGAGTTTACCTCAAAATTCGTTATTTACAACAGGAAATTTGGCAACGCACGAAGGCTCATACGGCATTCTTCCCTAGCACGGCAGTATATCTTGCCGAATCCGAAAAAGTTTTAGGCTACCGTTGGTGGCCCCTTGCCGTTATTGTCCTCACACCGTATCCTTAGCCAAGACTTCCTCAGAGACTTGCTTCCTGCCTTCTCAACAAATCAGAGCGGCGCGTAGCGCACATACTACTGTGAGGGTAGTAACCGGAAAAGCGCCTTTCTTTCTTATAATATGCAATGCAACATGAACTAACGTAAAGCAAGAATTGTTGCATTTTAAATTTGGCGTATATATAGGTTACGTGTCAAGACTGTAGGCTGCGGCAGTCACCATCATTGATGGCACCTTGTTCATTTTCTATTGATTAATGCAACGCATTTCCCCCTATTTTTCTTTTTTCATGAGTCAGTGCATGGTTGAATTATTGAAAGAGTGCGTGAGTGAATGCTCGCAGAAGCGATTTTCTTCAATTGGCAACACTGTTATTTTATAACATTTATTGATTCTAGGTGATGCAGCCTGCCTTGCTTGAAATCTAATATTTTGCATACAGTTGGACGTATTTCTGTCCAACGGAGCAATGTGCTGACGTGAGCCCTGTTATGCATCTATTCTTATGGGTCTCAGGACTCATGTCTCAATGCACACAGTTCCGTTTGACAGAAATACGTCCAATTAAATGTAGAAAAATCAGTGTTGCCAACTTAGAAGAATTGCGACGCGATATTTGTAGAGTAAATAGATTCGTAATGGAATTGGTGTAGGTGGCGTCTTTTTTAAGTCACTAAACCAGAACCTAATCCGAGACTCCTGCACAGCACCGGGTGCTTTTTTAGATGTTTGTGATATCATTCTACATACTTGCAATCGATTACTTTTCACTGGTTTTACAGCAAAATCCGCCCGGCAGCTTAAGTCCTTTAGTCCATATGACCTACAATCCTCTTTTGTATTACGACTGTTCGTACTCTATGGTGATATTCGGTGAGACTGTAATACTGGCACCGTATAAATAAATTTTAATGGTCCATTTTAAATAGTGCTTGTTGTAACCGTTGTTCAATGTACTTCTGCAGAAAAAAAACTGCTCTAAATTCACCCGCACGATTTCCGCATATTTCTATTCACTGATAACGTATTTTTTGTGATTTGTTTCTCGTTAATTCCTTTCAAAAATTTTTCATGATGTAACCTTTAAGCTTACCATTTGTTGTATATATTCCCCGATTTTTATACTTTCCTTAAAATATTGATTTTCTGATAACTGAATAAACATATGTTATTTTAATTTCTCATTTATTTGATTCCCATCAAACTTTCGGGCAAGTTCAGTCCATGGTTAACGTGTAGGCTGGGCTACTGCTACTGGGACGTAATGCTAGGAAATACTGTGCTAGAAAAGTGGATAATGGAACGCTATGGCGATTCTTAAAAGTTGGCAACTCTGTTTTCCCCCCATTTGAATGTATGCCAAAAATCGACTCTTGGTGAGGCAGCTTACCTCTCCTAAAATCGATATATTTAATGGATTTATATGGAGGGAAAAAAGTGCTGCCAACTTGCAAAATCGCTATTGAAATGGGACGGAACAAGGCCTCACACAACTCAGCTATAGGGCGGTAAGCCTCGAACGAGGAGATTTTACGAGGACCTGACGAGGTATGTGCCAGTGACGTGGCGTGCTTGGCGATCTATCGATATTTCCCCATTTGAAGCTGTGGTAAATAATCGATTATTAAGGTGTTCGCTGCGAACACCCTGCTCATCGATACTTTTCCATAGGTTTAAATGACCGGTCAATCGATATATCGCAAAGCACGCCACGCCACTGCGAGGTGCCTTCTTATTTCGGAAAGCTACCCTGGGAATAATAATATATATCGCCGTAGAACTGAGCCATGCAAACTAAATCTCTCTTCAAATCGGCAATAAACGGGAGAGTCCTTTGTAAAAACTTTGAAATGATAAGGTAAATGTAAAACTTAGGTCTCGTTTCCAGGCACGCTGGAATAAAACTCGCTGCAAAGAAACAGTGAAAACAAGCAGTGAACTCCAGCATGTGGTGATAAGGCGCGTCATCGACTCATACATATCAACCTCGTTCCTTTTCATTTACAGAGAGCGTCAGAGACTTTAATGTAGGTAAGGAAACATGGCAGAATTTCCCTCATTACATGAAGGAAATTCACGATCTAACACTGTGAGGTCATCCGACTGTGTATTGTGAACGTTAGAAAGCCTTTCGAACCAATTTAAGTTCTCTGATCTACCTCACGCAAAAACTTATCAGATTCTTGAAGACTAGTAACTACTGAATAAACTAAGCCAAAATAAGAAACATTTTGCCGAACTCCTGGAAAATAAAGTCGATTTAAAGGTATTTTGGGGCTGCACTAACGAAATGACCAGTGGTAAATCCTGTTACATTAATGGAAAAAAAATTGACTCGATATAAATGCAATTAAATGTGTCTTGATTTGGTTATGAATTGAAAGTAATCAGTCTAAATCCCGAAAATCGCCCGTTTGCCATACAAAATCGCAGAAACTCGATATACCAGGTCGATGTAGCCACTCGTTGACTTAACGAAATTCCATGAGTGCAAATATGTATAAAACGACAGAATTGAGGATCACAAGGTTTCAACCCTTACATTTTTATTTACATAGATTTTTAACAGCTTCTCCATGGAAATGAAAATTTAATATAAACTCTGAAAATACAAGTTGATATTTATTTAAAATATTAGTAGAAACAAGCTTTTCCAACAGTGACCGCGAGTTCTGTGAGTGATGTGCTCGCCTTGAAAACATCGCTGAGATCCACATCCATTATCGGTAACCGCTCTGGCCGGTCTGTTGTATATGAAAACAGATTTTCTGTTGTCATTTTTTCCTGCAGAAATCAACAAAAATCCCAAATTTAGGATGAAATATAATTTTCACTTCAACCAAAAAAAAACGAATCTTGATAAGAAACTCACAGGGTTTTGATGAACTCAAGTCTTGATTTAAGTGTTAGGTAATAATCTTTAAATATATGTTTTGCAACGTCAAACGAACGGGAAACGAGGGCTTTACTTCAACTTACAAATTCCTGCATCATATGGACCGAGCTCCGTGGAAACGTGGAGCAAGTCGCATTTTGGGGAAAATTGTGTTGGAAATAGTTTTGAATCATTCAAATATTCGAAAATTCTCTCTTGTCAAAAAGTCAAAGTTGAGGAAAAATATTTTGAACGTGAGAACAACTGTTAAACTTTTACCCCTTTTATCGAGTCTTTTGGAACGATGAAGCATCAGAACCCCTCATTCGCGCTTCATATTTGATGCGCATTGGTGGTGCATTTCTGTTAAATTCGGCCCACTTAAAGAGGATGGGTGTCCTGTGGTGTTATTGCAATTTGACTTTTACAATTAAATTGATCAATTCTGCAATTCATTACATTCAATCAATCTAGCGATAACCTCTGGAGGTATAGTGTTGAAACATTTCCTAGACGCGGAATCAACGACATGTAGAGCAATTGGTGCCTCATATTGTTTCCATCCATCCTGAACACGGAGTGGATGTAATAATGTGGAAATGTGAGGAGAGAGAGAAAAAAAACAGGATGAATAAGCTACGAACAATCACGCTAAAGGGGAAGGAAGAACGCTGCTTTAAATAAAAAACTAATTAGCACACGATAATTATTAATCTAAATCAAATGGCATATCGCATAAGTCATGCATTTAATGTTTAGTCAAAAAATCACACTTACAGGCTCGATATAGATCTGTTCGGTTTCGGTTTTGTATCGCAAAGATTTACTGTTCTTGGAGGATATGATTGCATCGTTATAACCCAGCAGAGAAAGTTCCATATTCCCTCGGGTGAAATACGAATCTTCTTCCATGTCAGAGGCCCTGACGGTAATATTCTGAGTAGCTTTGTCCGAGATCTGCTGCAATCTTACCAATTGCTTCGTTGTGATTCCATACGTAACCTAAACACAAAGTCACAATCACGAGTACTGATACTTGATAGATTTCGCTATGTCAAGCCAATAAATATATCACTAGACTTTAATTGCCTCTGGAACATTAGAAAATGACATTTTTTTCAACAAATCAAAGGCCTTTACTAAATCGAGTGATCTTCAACGCAGTTTTTAAAACAAATCACCAGGGCTGTCAGGGCCGGATTTAGGGGGTGGCCACATGGACCGCGGCCCATGGCGGCAAATGTGGTGGGCGGCAAACCTTGTGGTTTTTTTTAAATGTAGGTATAAAATAAATAAGAAAACAAATTACAAACGAGAAAAGGCGAAAAAATCTCTCATTTCCTGAGATTTAAAGTAAAGTAATTTCTAATTTGTTCGTCTTTCGGTGTACAAGAGACAGTTTAGACTTTCATTAGTCTAGTTGAGAGAGAAACCAACACGCAATTTGGCCTGGAGCGGCGCGGCGCGGCGCAGAGAGCAAGGATGACGAGGACTTGAGATGGGAAGGAGAGGCCCTTGGCGCCCCGGTCAGCATGGAACACATATTAGCGCCTACAAGATTCCATGAATACTTCACGCATTGCGTCAAACGTAGTGCGGTCAGCAGCGGTTGGCGTGAAACTCATAGTGCCTACAAGACTGCATGAATACAGTGCGTTAAAAACAGTGCGATCAGCAGCGGTCGGCGTAAAATGCATAGCGCCTTCAAGACTGTAGGGATACTTCACACATTGCGCCAAACAGTGCGGTTGGTGCGATGGCGGAAATTAAACCACATTCATGTTTATTCTTTCATAATTTTTTCGTTCTTTTCTTATAAATGAAAGGCCTCGTTCACACAAGGATAGGTTTACGGAACTTAATTTTTGACTCTGAGACTTGCAGTATAGGCGAACTCATTTTGATACTACTCGTGGCGTGCGACATAGCCGCCCCCCCTCCCAAAAAAAAAAAAATAAACTAAAATATACCTCCATATGAAACAATAAAATTTTCCTAGTGCTAATTCTTCTTTACCTGGATTTCATCACGAACATCGGTGAACCAGATTGGTGAACTGTACTGATCAGGAGCCGGAATAGAACCTGATACGGTCGGAGATGGTAACACGCAGGTAGCACCTAACTCCATATCACAGAAAACGAGGACAGCATCCTGAATATCCTGTCCATTAGGATCAATCCAATACAAATCTAAAATTTGGAGGAAAAATAATGATTCTTGAATTTTCCGCTAAAAGGTTTTTGGCGCGTATACGTAGTATATTGGCGCGTATACGTAGTATACCGCCTTTGCGATCGTTTCGACCCCCCCCCCCCCGATACAATAACCGAGTCCCCTAGTTCCTTACCGAAAAGTGACTACCGCGAACTTCTGAGATTTTCCAAAGCGTGTAAAAAGTTTACTAATCCGTCAATAATAATGATTAAAATTTGTTTCTCATTCTGGGGCTCGCTAGTTTATGTGTAATGAATACCAAGAGTCTACGTTTCTTGGTTTTTTTTAAAAAAACCTTAGAATGGGGCGCGCTGATTTAAAATATGCATATATAAGCGGAAGTTGGTACTCCTTGCTCTGATAGCCGGGGCCACCAGGATAGTGGTAAGTGCAATCTGTGATGAGCCTCGAGACTCATTAGACCATTTGCTAAACGTGGCTCATACAGGAGTCCACTAAGCCCTCTCGTCCCCACGCTCCTGATCACTGCGTCGGCGTCACGAAGAACAATGGGCCTTGGGTCCCAACGCGGCCGATACCCGTACCCCAATTACTCACGCTTCATTAACCATTTCACCGTCACGCTAGGATTCATCCAATTTTCAAAAAAAATTGTTTCGCATGTATTTAACAATTTTTTCCTTACTCTCCGTTAAAACACAAATAAAAAGAGACCTCATTCATAAAAATCGGCCGAATAGAAGAGAAGTTACAGTAATCGAAATCCGAAGAAATCAACAAAACCTCGACTCCTCGATACGAAAAATAAAATGAAGGGGAAAAAAAGAAAGTATAAATTACAATTAAATATAATTGACCTCAAAATTTGACAAACAATTCATTTATATACCTAACGCTGAAAAAACTGGGAGAAATTACAAAAAATTTGCCTCTTGCAAGGGGCTTCTTTGTAAGAATTTTGACCTGAAGACAACGGTCGAATAACAGCAGTACTCCATACAATACACGGTGTGCCTGAACGAGTTAAACATTTTTCATACGTCCAAATCGAAAAATCTTTATATTTTTAACTACAATGTTTCTTGAATCGTTTAAGCAAAAAAAAAAAAAAAAAAAATTCCGTCGAGATTCTGGAACGCAAAGGCGCTTTAAAAGTATTCTGGGGCTATAATAGCTAAATCACCGGTAGTAAATTCGTTATATTATTAAAAAGAAATTGACTCCATAGTTTAATTCCTTAGTTTCTTGAATACGATTATTTTAAGCACTTAAACATTTATACCACCAATTTTAGCCATGGGGTGATTTCCTGAGAGCCGATAATATCACGAATTTCTCATAGAACCCCTCAACAGTGGCTTGCTTTTTTGGCAGCCGATTCGGCCATCGAACCGGAGTTTAAATGGAAGCTGATAATAACCCAAAGCTCTGAGAAAAATTTTGAGATGAGTATAAGAACGGTTTGTTGTAAGTAGCGAGGAGAGGCGGGCAAAGCGGCTAAAATCCTATCTAATTTTTACAGTTTTTCTGTTGAATTAATGTTGCCGCGGGCTTCTGACTGTCCACACATAGTTCTGTTCAGCATATCGATACATAAGTATTTACATTTTACATACGTAGAATCTAATTTTCACGTCGGGGAGTTGACATATTTTGATTTTTTCGATTTTATACGGAAAATTGATGGTTTTTCGGGATTGAAATTATTATTGTTTCATGAAAAATAAATGCACCCAAAATGACTATAGCATATTGATTCTTACACATTTGCACTCACAAAATTGGTTGGTAAATTCAACGAGTGGGTGCATCGACCTGGTATATCAAGTTTCTGCAATTTTTTACGGCAAATCAGTAGATTTTCGGGATGTAGATTGCTTACTTTCAATTCATGAATGAATAAAGCAACGACATGGTTGAACTTCTTTGCATGGAAAGACGTTTAAAATAACAAAATCAAGACGTATTTAATGCAATTGCATTTATATCGAGTCAATTTCTTTTCAATAATATAACGGGATTTTTACTACCGGTGATTTGGGTATTTTAGCCCCAAAATACCTTTAAATCGACTTTATCTTCTAGGAGTTCGACAGAATTTTTCCTTTCTTCGCTTAAATTATTCCGTAGCACTTTTCTTCAAGAATCTGATAAGATTTTGCTTGAGGCAGATCAAAAAACTTAAATTCGATCGAATAGCTTTCTACTTTCACAATACACGGTCTCGTCAAGGTGCGTCTTTGACCTCGCAGTGTTGGATCGTGAATTCTCTTTTTATGCTGTTTGCCTATTTTGAAATCTCTGTAAATGAAAACTAAAGGGGTTGATATGTGCGAGTTAATGACGCGCCTTATCAACACATTGTGTTGGAGTTCACTGCTTGTTTTTTTTTTTTTTAGGAAAAAAAAATACATTTAGTCAATTAAAATGATTTGTATTCGAGTCTTTCTTATATGAATTTTAATTGATATCTGTTCCCTGATGCAAAATCTTCTCAAAGCTAGCTTAGTTGAAGCTAAAAGTATGCCCACTTCAAAAATTGTTTACTTTTTACATGCAGGCATTGATCATTCTCGTTATATGAAACAAGTAAATCTACTTGAAAATTCACGCTTGTGCTTTGATGTCCCTAGATATGACATAATCTGAAATAATACTCACGATTTGTTTTGCCTCATCATCTAAATTGACAGATTTTATGACCCTTACATCACAATGGCCAGGTTCACCGATTGGTCCTGAAAAATAATTCAAAGGATTTATATTTGAGATGAGAAAATCCATGTTCGCCCTCTGGCTCTCATTAAATCTGTCTGAGTTATGATGTCATAATGACATAACTGTTCACTCGATGTGAGTAAAGTTCGTTTTATGTGTTATAGCTTTGAACTGCCGAATTAGATTCAAAAATTGTCCATAAATGCTCTAGTAAACTGTTGATTTCAATGTTTTTAGATTGTTCGTTGAAAATACTCAAGATTTTCGAGTGTATGACTGGGCATTTGAGGAAAAAAGAGCTCTAAATAAGCCCCTCTGCAACAAGTAAACACTCTCTACTATATTAGAACCTCAAATTGCCAACTATTCTATATTAGAGCTTCATTATTCTGCAGTACCTTGATCTCCTTTGTCCCCTTTCATTCCTTGTGCACCACCATAAGGACGTAGATACATGGCACGTTTTTCGCGTACGGAAGTCTGAAATCATATGGTAAGTTTGACAAGGTATTAAAGAAAGTGTCCTGAATCGATAGAGCAGCAAAAATATAAATTGTTCTTAGATTTTTCTTTGCCGTGGTGACGCTGCGCTGCTTTCCGTTGCGTCATCGTTAGAAGATGGTTTCGACCCCGAGCAACTATTTTAACTTCCTGGAGATCAAATTGCATACCCGATTAAATGAAGGAACTTCGACAGGGACCGAGAGGTCTTAAATCAAGATATCTCTTTAGACGTCTCACGGGGCCTCGCCGCTGAGCCATCTATAAATCCCAATTCTAATATTCAATATTGCAAATTCGATGAAAGAAAGAAAATTTTTAAGGCAATTGATACTAAGAACTGAGATTATACAGCTGCTGATTCTTTTCTGACACTTACCTTTTGACCTTCAGAAGTACAGCAATCTCCAGGCTCCCCTTTAGGTCCTGCGGGACCAGGAAAACCCATATCTCCTTTTGCACCCTGAAACATTAGAGATTTTCGATACAGGTTTTTTTTATGTTTTTTTATTGTGAACTTCTCATAAAAATTTTACACATCGATATTAAGTAATGATGACTATACAGGCTACAGAGAAACCTATATGGACGTATTTCTACCAAACAGACCTATGTGCAAGTGAGAAATGTGGGGTGTGCTCGTTAGTTCTCTTTGCGTGAGAGTGAATGAGAATAATAAAGCGCCAGTGACGTCAGCGGCAACGAACGAGCGCCGGCACAACGGGGAGCTCGTTGGAGGGACTCTTTAACTCATGAGCCCTGTCCACAACGTTCTCTTGCCATGCCCGCGGCTCATGACTGCCGCATTCAGTTGGCACATAGGTCTGTTTGATAGAATGTAATATCCCGCTTTTCCAATTCTGCAAAAGGAATCACGCCACTTTTACATTACATCTTATGCAGCTTCGACGAGCACACCCCATATTTCTCACCTCCACATAGGTCTGTTTGGTAGAAATACATCCATATGTATAACTTACTCGCGTGTTCAGGAAAAATTCAGGGAAAAGGTAAAATCTATAAGTAAAATATATGTCTGTTGGGTCAGACCTGTAGGCTGGCTAGTTCCCAAGTTTTAACCCTTTTGAGGCATCTGATCTCGTTTGATTTATGTAAAAATTGGATTGCCTCAACATTCGTTACAGTGCTCTTAAGAAAATTTAAATGACACGCGAGCGATATTCCAAAGGGATCGTGATTAAAAGACAACATTTTCGGTGGATTCCAGCTGGAATAATTTTTTTAAAGAGCGATCCAACGCCTATTTCGATGCTGTCTTCTTAAAATATTGGATTCTTACAATCCACCTGTGGTTGCCTCTGCTGATGTGCTCATTGTGTGCCTTCCAAAAAATCTCTGAATTGGGAACCCATCTTAATTTGAGGGAATTAGTAATCACTGCCGCAAAAAAGATCTACTAACACCTTAACTTGTTGCACTATCATGCACGTGTCTACCTTAAGACCACGGAAAAAACAACTCTAGCCCTGAGCCCTGCAGGCTGTAGGGCTCACCCCTACTGCCTGAAGTCGGCGTTATTTTGACCTACAGTGTTAGGGCTCAGCGCTAGGGTTGTTTTTTCCGTGACCTTAAATCCCGAATGAGCTAACTAATGNGGGGGGGGGGGGGCTTGAGTAAAACTCATTGAAAATTTTCATTCCTCTCTTCTTCTAATAACGTGTAGCTTTTACGCCCAAAATCATAACTCCCATACTACTTAGGTGGCTGAGTCCTTAACTTAGGGGACCCTCTGCACCCTCTTTCCCAAAGAAAAATTGGAATAAAGCGTTTGATTGAGATGTGATTACTCACCGAGAATCCTGGTGGTCCTGGCATTCCTGGCCGTCCTGGCATTCCTGGCATTCCTGGTGCGCCGGGGAGGTCCGCTGAACCGGACTTACCGAGCGATCCACCGGGCAACCCTGGAGGGCCTGGTAGTCCCGGTATTCCCGGAGGCCCCGGGTATCCTTGTTCTCCTTTTGGGCCTTCTCGTCCTGGCAGTCCCGGAATTCCTGGTAGACCGTCTGCTTTAACTGAAGCCTGGAGCAATTAGGAGTGTTTAAGTTTAAATAGTCGATTTAATCATAAGCCTTTGGTTACAGCATCTTCAAATGGGTATGGGAAAACTTTGCCTTGGCTCATCTACAGAGGTAAAGAGAATGGGGGTAATGCCTCTCCTTCTCCAAAATAAGTAGGGGAGCTAGGGCTCAGAGAGGGGCTCCTCGAAAATGTATTGCATTAAACTTATCTGAAAATGTTATGATATTGGTCTATTTCGATACCAAAAAGATGTTGTTCCCCGCATATTTGGCTAAAAAAAAATACAGACAAGAAGATCAAATCAAACCATAAATATTCGGCGAGACGTTTACAGTTTAAAACAAATAGTTTCGGGAATAGCTGCTCAAAGTTCGGCGGTCTTTTACTTTAGGCTGAAGAAGTTGAATGGAGCTTTTGCATGCGGGAGGGATTTGCGATTCAAGTATTTTTTCTTACGTAAAATTACGTGAGAAGCACGATGGTGTCAATAATTTTCTTTGAAATCAAATCCAAAGCTCAGAAAAAGTGCTAAAAGTTGAAACCGTAATGGAGGGGATACCCCACGCCACCCTGAAAGTCCATCCCTATATATCAAGTCAAATTTTCCATGCAAAGATAATAAATTAATACATTACCAGGGTTGCCCTTAGTTTTGGGACTCCAAAACTGAAACCACGGCAACCCTACTAATGTATTTGCTCCTTACCTTTGCAAGGAGGGTTCGACTTTACATAAAGGTGGTCCATCAAGGTAGCGTGGGATATCTTCTCCATTACGGCCTCAACTTCAAGAGCTTTTTTCGAGCTTTAAAGTTGATTTTAGGGCAAACCAGTGGCACTATCGTGTTACTCGCAAAATTTTACGTTGATAAAAGTACTTAAATCGCCAATCCCTCCCGCATGAAAAAGCTCCATTGAGCCATTACGCGTTCTATTAGCACAGAAATTCATCAGCCAGTGTGCACTAATTGTTTTTGATACTAAATTTTTTCTGTCTAAAACTGAAGTTTTGATTTTTTAGCCCAACGTAATTGCAATTATATAATATCTCTTCATACAATAAGGTCCCTTTTCAATGACCGGTGACGATTTGTAATTTATTCTAATACAAACGTTTATTTAGACTAGAGCACGCCACCTAATCAAAAATGCCAGTGTGACGAGAAGTGTCACATTCGGGTCTCTTAGTTTTTTCCCTCTCTTATTTCTATGTTTTACTTTTAAATTCGTTTTGATTTGTGCTAATGATAGTAAACCATGCGTATTGGTGGAATTCATTTTTCTACATTAAAAATATGGAAGTAAGAAAAACAAGTTGGATTTTGCAATCGCTAGCGATAGCAATATTCGTCATGGGAACGTTAGCTTCTGGGATATGAAAATGTTAAGGTACAGTTCGTTTGTAGTATCTTCTGAATTGAAGGGGCTATGTAATTTTGTGTTGACATCTCTTTTTTAACATTTTTAATTATTTTCTTTGCATACAAGAAAGCTGTTATGTACCAATTATTTAT